TCCTTTGCTTTGATAGCGCGCGCTGGACTCGGTTAACTTTTAATCGATGCGTTTTTGCCGACGACGACGAAGGCGACCCGCCAACGGGGGACAACAACATCGTGGCTTTATCGTCCTGCCTTGACCATATTTTATTGTTGCCGATTGTTCCTTCGTTTCTGTCTCTCTTCACCCGGCGGAACGCCGGTTTTTTTATCTCTTCAGAAGAGTTCCGCCCTTCGTCTCTGATTCTCTCTCTTTCTTTCAGCATCACATATTGCATTCATCGAATCTTTTCTTGAGCAGGATTTCGCATAATCAAAATCAAATGTCATGTTAATTCAGCAAAATTTACAATAAGGCAACATAAATTCAAAAAGGCATTGTAAAATTCATTAGTCATGCGGAATTTATAAATAATTACTTTTAAATAACATTTTTTAAATTAAATTTTGAGGAAGATAGCCGAAAAATCATTAATAAATAATATTTGTCAGTCAACTATATTTCAAAAATAAATTTAAAGTTCAAATATATCAAAGATAATAATTTGCTAACAAAGATTAAATTCGTATTGTCAACTGGCGATTCTTACAAAGAAAAGTCAAAAAGGAATTCTTTAACTTTGACTTTTCCTTGTATTTATATACATTATAGTTTAATGATAGTTTTCACTTTCTTTAATTTTTCGAATTTACCGTGGGAAAACTATTGTATTGGTAATTGATTTTAGCCTTTGATATCTTCGATCAGTTGAATTATTGACAAAGCTGTATTTCCATTCGCTAGAAAGTGCATCGCCTATAAATCTCGCATCGAATAATAGCGAACCACACCTTCACTTTATTTGGGAAGAGAGAAAGAGAATGCGCCGGAGAAAGGTCCGAAACGCGGAGCATCTGGTAGCAATCAGCGCGAGAGGCGCATCTTTGAAATGTCGGCAGATCGCGAGAGAGACGCGCCCCGGAGGGGGCGCGATGAAAAAAGGAGAAAAAACAAATTAAGAAGTGCCGTTGAATTGGATCGTGGCAAAAAGGGACGAACGTCTGCCGCGGAGGACGCGCGAGAGGGAGGAATGCGTCAGCGGTGAAAGGTCCGCCAGTCTCCGACGCCGACTCCCGCGATGACCAGAGGGAGAGACCTAACACCGCACGACCTACAAATTACCCCTGCACATATCATATGTACGAGAACGAAAGGGCAACCAGGAAACGACCTTTCGGTGCCGCCCTCGTAACCACGAGATCGTTAAATCGCACCGACGCACGAGGCGCCCAGCGTCGTATGCATAATGCCACAGGCATTTCGTTTATTATGCGAGCCTTAGATCACGTGTATAAAAACATGATATACTATAATATTCAGGCTGTTTTCAAAGCATAGAATAGCTAAATTTACTACTTTACTGTTTCTTCCACATTTATAATTAACTTCATTAAAAAGAAAACCAGATAATGTTAAAATTTTTTTAAATTTGATTTTTTCAAATTCTTTTAATAAACTGTAAGACCTAAACTGTGGTCTCATAGACGATTATACAATGTTATTGCATAAATTTTTTAATACCATCCAATTTCTATGGCACCCTCATAGACTTATAGACTCCGGTTCACCTTTCTTGCGCGGTCTTTTGTTTCGCGGACGATTAACGGCAAAGTACTTGCAGTGATCGGATACCAAAGGCGTGAAATTCGCCGCTAGAGATCGAAATGAGTTATTATTCGCCTACGGCGACCGACAAAAAGCATTAACGAGTTTCTATTCGACGAAGTGACAACCGCTCCCGGCACTCAGGAGCTCGATCTCGACAATAGGAAAGAATATGATTTTCTACGAGATCATGCATTATATTTCATTGTTTAAGTAAAATAACTAGAAGAAACACTGTTTTTACTACTTGTTTACAGAATAACATCGATTATTTTATTTATTAATGTTTAATGGTATTATGTGTTCTATCGCTTTTATCAGAAGAACGAGTTCACATCGGGTTAAACTAGACACGAGTTTATATGCTCACGTCCGCATATGATTTTCGAAAGGCACCGAACTCGCCGGCAGGGACGTCAGTCGCGCGTGACGGGCATAGCGCAGCGCATCGACACATTGTTTTAGCGCCATAGGCAGGCGCGTTAAAGTCTCTACATGCGATATCGCATATTCGACTCACGCGCGCACCTCCGGTCGTAAAAGAAGGCGACTTGGCAACTTCCACCAGCTACAATTTTTTTCTAATGGAACTAAGAAACTAATCACTGGCATAAATCGAATTTCAGCGGACCATTGTGAATCTTATTTTTCTATGTATATCAAGAAGTACAAATATATTAAAAGTTCTATCTAGAAATAAAAACTGCCGATGCGTTATTTACTTTCTTTCAACTACGAATATTTCGAAGCCATTTTTTATTGTCATTCTTTTTTAGTTCGATAAATGCGCGTTTTCCTTTATATATTTTGTACATATTACATAATTGTCAGCGTTACCTAATTATTGAGCAGAATAATAACGAAAAAATCAAGTTCTGCGAAAATGTGAAAGAGAAGGAGTTCGAAACGAAGGAGTGAAGATCGTTCCTTCGCATCTGCGCTGGTAATAATTACTTATCTTTAATTTGCGCGAAGGGGGGACAAAGGCGACACGGAGAAAGCAGGAAAGAACGACCGCGGAAAAAGCTGTGCGCGCTTATTCGAGAACGCGCGGTTTCGCATTCTGGAGTAAGTAGATAATTCCGGCGTAACGTACGGACGCGCCCGGTACGACGGATGGGAATGTCGTCGGCGGGACACATAACGTGTGGTGACGTCTCGCTATGTGAAAATTACGCGAGCATGAGAACGATAATCGTCGTTAATACGCCTCTCACATACGAATGCGGCCTTATTTATAGCTTTCCCCCTCGCGGACTATCGCCTCGTCATGAGGCCCCGGATTCGCTCCAACCGACCGTATCAAATTTCCTCGAAATCCACCTAGTCATTCACATATCATTTTTAACCAAGCAATCACTTAGAATTACTTTGGCGTTATGAATGCCCTGAGCAAATAATCGATGAGACTTCACGATCTGATCCAAGAGTCTCAATTTTAATGAATCTCTAATTTGAACAAATGCCTACACTTTTGTAAAAAAAAAACTTTTTATTTAAACACAAACACAAATGTAAAATAAAAGATAAATTATGAAAGAAAGTAAAATAATATTTTTTAAATATTCTAAATTTTTTTAGGACACTATATATACAATCGCAGATATTAAAATATTCGTGTAATAAAATAACAAAGTTAATAAAAAGTAGTAAAAATGATTATTTCTATTAAAAGTGATTATATTGTCAGCTCGGTGTTCTAAATCGTTTCGAAAACTGCAGTGAATTCCGTCCGCCTACAGATTTGCAAGCGCTGCTTCCTGACCACCCTTTTTCTCCGCTCATTCGTTCAATCTTCGCATCCGCCACCAAAGCGGCCACCGCAACCGTGCGTGATGAGCATACGCAGATGCGTGCATAGCGTAGTCTCCTGCGCTTAGTGTAAGCGCAGCGCACATAAAGATAGATAAGATCGGCTCATACATCATAGGGACCGCCGTGCGGTTCGGGAGAGGAAAAAAGGGACCCAGGAAACTCCGAGAAGGGCAGAGATCTTCGCGTTAGATTGGCAACCGACCTCTTGCTTTGCGCGGGAAACATTCCTATTGCGAGAATCGCATCTCAACGCGAGGGCGGACGGCAGCGCGTGTGTTATAGTATATCGCGAACGTGCCGGATCGTACTAACGGAACTCTCCACACGCACTCTGAATTGGAAATCCGCGTGGAAGCTGCGAAGGGGCGGATAATGACTTTAACGCGTATCACAGATGGCGGGTGTTGATAACGAGGAGATGCCCGATAAAACGGGCGGGGATCGAAAACTGTAATTTTGTATGCGTGGGGCAAGTCGGAGTTAGTAAAAAAACTAACAGTTTTAACACATACTGTATAATAAAATATATTCTATCTGCATTTAGAAAGATCTAAATTATTTTTTTATTGCTTATGAGAAAAATTTATAGGTTTTCTACATTTATAAATTAAAAAATTATAAGTTTATATAATTTTTTTATACCCAACAGCTGTAAATTTAAGAAATTTTGAAGACTAGAATACAGATGTATTTCTTGATGTTCTACAAAAAATATTTTTTAATTCTCTCTAATTACTGTGCAACGTAATTGCTTCATCAAAGGTAAATAGCCTAGCATTCTGAATTCCGTGCTAATTCGACTTGCTCCGAAGACGTCACAAACGAAAGGAGGAACGTGCTGGGAATTCGTTTGTTTTCGAACCCTGAAATAGAAGCTGCGGCCTTCTGGGAACACACGTCTGTATAATGTCTCAAAAGATCTATCCGAGACTAGATATAAAATTCACCAGCAAACGTATTGAAAATTTAACGAAAAATTCGCATTTAACAACGTCTTCATTGTCCAATCTTTTATTTCTCTAATTATTCATATTCTTTTCTATTCGCTTTGAGAGAATTTAGTCTTGGAAGAAGCAAGATTAATAACTCAACTAGAACTCCAACGTTTATTTTCATTGGCACATTTCGTTTATTTCATTAGGCTTACAGAACATCTCGGATGATTGGATTTCTAAGAATTATAATTGCTATATGCAGTTAAATAAAGTTAACATCCGCTATAATAATAAATTGTTGTATTAAAAATCAATATAATTGCTAATAATTATATAATTATTATTATTTCTTAAAGCCTGTCTGCCAAAAATATACATTTTTCAAGTCACGATGTTGGGACATTAAATGCTTGTAAGTAAAACGTGTACCAATTGAATATTAATTGAATGCAAGTTGAGTCATTAATCAGAAATTCAACGTTATATTTGATACGCTCGTAATTAATTATCATAACTGCGTCTTAAGTCACGTCGAAGAATTATTACACCACTGATAAAGCATACGCTGACGTTTCGGTTAAAGTGCAAGTCGTGCATTTTGATATCGGAGGTCGCACTTACCAGAATCGGGCCTCCGTCCTTGCTAGAGGCTGAAACCGTGGCGCCAAACCACTGCAACGTCTTGTTGTCGATTTGACTCAAGCCACTGACCACACTTGGGTTTCTGACGTGATTGTGTCCTGTGATAACAGATACTTTTCTTTAATCAATTTCACTGAGATAATATCTTTTTTATTATTAAAAAAATTAAATTATATTTAGAAATTGAAAAATAATCATTATATATACATCATAAAAGTACAAATGCAAAACATAACCAATATTTATTAATGAAACAGTTTGTAAAAAAATACTTGAATATTATGAGATTCATTAAAAATAGTAAAAAATATTAAAAAATAAACGAGTTGCATGTCTATTTTAAATATTAAAGCTCAAAATAAAGCGCAAAAATAAATCGATATAGAAATTTCTATATCATGATTATATTGAAGTATAATGTGCTGAAGAAATGATTGTTCTCAAATCCATCTGGATTACTCAGAAGTTAATCGGAGAGCGCAGTAAGAATTAGTATCAAATTAGTATCTAGTTATCTTGTCGGATAGTACCTGGAAGTAACCAAATATGTCGCTAGATGAGATGAAGCGAATATACGATGGAATGGAATGGTATAAAATGGTAAGGACGAGTCTCATACTGACGTTTGCGCATCTGGTAATCCAGCCGTGAGGTTAATCTCAATCGAACCGAGCCTTCGTGATATTCATCATATCAATGGTACCATTTCTGGAAGGTAATTTACTGAAGAATATCAGCCAGCCACGCGATATCAGGCAGACGAGTACAAAATGATCGATTCGTGAATTGCGTTTTTTTCAGATCGTTATTATCCTTCATCATATTATCGAGAAAGAATACCGGTCAAGAGATACATTGGCTATATATAGAAATCTGATTTATGCGAACGAGAAAAGAGTGAGTATATCGGTTTTGATCATACATCGAAAACGAGGAAGAATTTTGTTGATTATTCAATTGCTCTCAAAGCAATTTTAGCATATAAATAATATGAACAAGATGTGCGTAATCATATTACAATGATATGAAATAGAATAATAAACGAGCGAGCTTGATAAACAATGCTGTTTAAGATGATTCCTTAATAAAAGTAACTCGACAACGCCGCGTAAGATCGGCCGTGCAATTATCGTTCGATGATCTCGGGAGAAGAGTCGCAGACAGGTGTCACAGTGAGGAAAGAAGTGCAACTGTGCATTTTTCCTCGTTGATTTTGCGAACGGAGCGAACCCGTTAGACCGTATCGGTCGTCTTTGGTCCTTAAAGGGAAGTTGTCCTTTGCCTCCCAATCCTTACCGGATCGTCATGATTGGGAAGCAAGCGGACAGAATGTGATTCTACAAACTCGCATACCAAAATTAATTGGACTGAAACATATATTTTACGCTTAATAACACACTATACTTTATTTATCAATCAAGAATTATAAATTTTTATTAAGTAGAAATAAGTTGTTAATTAAAAAAAACATACTTCCAAATAATTTGGTAATGTCTCTTTTATTTTTTACTAATAAATTAATTGTAAATGCCGAAGACAGCATTTTCGATTGTCAAAAATTGATTCTCGGACAGCATGCAGCAAGAAACATTAAACCTTCGGAGAGGCAGGGCTAGGGCACAGCGATCTTACGGTTTTCTGTATTAGGCATCGTTGGCTTCTTGCCGCGAGACACTTCTTAGTATCTCTGGACAGTCCGGCACTCGGCAGAGTGTTACGGCGAGAGGAGTTCCCCGAGACCAACGTCTTCGCTCGAGTGGCCGACGAGTGAGTGACCTCGGAGACCTGCGCGCAAGATCTCTTCCTCGTACGCAAGCGGAATCAGCGATACGCGATCGAGAAGATCGTTTGGCACTTCAACGTTCCGCAGGTGGAACAGTGAGATACATCGCGAATAAGGATCGAGAGCGAGATCTCGCCTAGAGTCACCAGATCTTGACAAAGAAACAATCTATCTTTTCCTTCAATTACGACAATTTAACAAACTTGTAAACAAAAAAATGAGTAGTATCGTTAACACGGCTTAAGTAAACAATTAAAAATTTGACATGAAAAAGTTGTGCGTAAAAATAGATAAAAATTTCAAGAGCATTTGCTTCTTCAAAGAATTTTTTCTTGGAACTTTTTCTTTGAACTTTATTCCAACTATTCGAACCGTTTAAACGTACAAAGTGTTCAAACGTTTTGTCCGAATCCTAATCTAAACATCTCGATGATGTATAGAGAAACAACTGTGATTTTCTCGAATGAACCGCGGCTAAAGTTAGACGTCCTGTACAAATTACCGATTGTAGCAGATCGTTCGTCGAAGTAATAATAATATTGTGCTCGTCGAGGCGCGCTCAGCATCGCGAAACCAGGCGGCGGCTATTTTCGAGAGCAACTCCGTTCGCGAGGTTTCAGCGACACACTGTAAATCCGGATCTCGGGTTATCCCACTACTATTTTAAACCATGACAGTGTAAATGTCAAAAGAAATACGTAAAGCGGCGTTCTCGAAGGACGTATGTAATTTTTACGTAATCTCTTTTCTCGATCCCGATATTGAATATCATTATTTACATAGCTGTGATTTAAAGCTCTTCTAGCTGGCTATAAAAAGGCAGGTAAAGAAAGTAACGCGCCTTATAGAGATATAAACTGTACGTTGAGTAAGAAAAATCTACTGGAAAAAAATATGAGAAAATACGAAGGCAACTTTATAAATATGTTTCAATCAACAGATAAAAATGTGTTAATTTATCGACGTTAAACGTGTTCTAATCGCTCTTAAATACAAACATTTAAAGCTTTGACGCTTGAATACCTGAACAACAATTTTTAGCTTCAGTATTTATGTAACTAGGTGCAAGTTAAAGTTACGATCATCAATTATCGTGATTCGAATCTGGTGTGTGTCGTAAAACAACGTTTCGACAGTATCGCGAGCGACCATCTCGAGAAAGTCCAGTCTCGCGTGACGTTCATGTATGCCCAGGTAGCGAAGAATGAGAAATAATCGAGATGTTTTCGCGCGCGGAGACGAAGAAACCACACGTGCGCGCTAAGAATCGACGCCGAGCACGACAGAGAGAGCAGCCAGCTGGCTACTAGGTATCCTAATTGGACAAGATCGAGGTGGGAAGAGCATACGATCGGTCTAATTATCGATCAAAGCAAAAGATGTTCGCGGGCGCGCAGTAGCGCCGGTTATGGAAGAGAAGAATCGACTAATTGGATGTACAACTCGAGAATTTCTTGTATGCGCAGCCGGGCGAAAATGTTTCCTCGTACAAAAAAACGCGCGATCGAGGAGAACGGAGGAGAAAAACATCGATGAAGTACCGCAGGAAGCCGATATCTCTTTTTATTGCATTCGGATAAAATCTTCGTGCGAATGCAAATCAATGAAATCGAGAATGAAGCAAAAATAGATTTTGAAGAAAACAAGTGCGGAAATTTTACGCTCGACTGGCACAATTTTATTAATTTTTATTAGTTCAACTATTGTGACTCGTCTTTGCTTCGATTTTAAGTCTTTAAATTTATCGCCCGTAAACCTTATTTCATTAATTCGGTTACTTAATATCTTTTTTGCAAACTTTCTCTTTCATTTGTTTGCAATTAAACATTTCGAGTATATTTTTGTAGTATTCAAAATAATTCTAAATTACCAAGTCTTTAATTAAAAAAAATATGTGAAGAAATATTCGAGATGTGAAGAAATAATTCATCTAAGAAATCATCTAACATAAAACTCCAGTATTACATTCTGATATATATCGCATGCTTTCTTGCAAAATATAGCCACAAGCTATCAGGCGGTCTAATTATTCACGCATTCTATCTTCTCAATCAGGTGCGAACGCGCTGAAAAGGAAGAAATATATCTCAACGCGTTTCGATCGCGCTTCTCTTTTATTCACGCTGCCGATTGATCATGCTCGCGCTCCATTTGCTCGATAATGTAACATGAAATCAGCGATCGGCCCCAGTCGTGTGATTTCCTGCCGATCATGCTCGGCGCGGTCGATCTCTCACTCTCTCGCAAGAACAAACTGGCAACGCGAGAGCACGAGTCGGAATTGCTGCAGATCGCTGTTGAGATACGGCAGTATTACGAGGTATGTAACTGCGTCTAATTCGCGCCGCGAATTTATTCTCGCTAATTTACATTAGCGCGTTCGATTCGCGCGCGTGTTTACGAGCGGCGCGAAAGATTACCTATTGGGCTCGCGAGCGCGCGCGGATAATATTTTTAACCCTAGCTTACCGGGAAACTTTATGACCAGGCGATGTACTTTAAACGCGGCCACTTTAATTGGTTCGCGCGCGGTATGCGTGTTACTCTCTTCTCCGCCAGACTTTACGCAACGTTTCCCCGCAAATTTATGAACTGAGCGTCAGAGTGAACCAAGTTCTCTCCGAGTGTGAATTTACGGTGCTAATCCGATTCGTTAGGGTATTTTTTAGCGACTTTTAAATAGTCTTACATTAAGATAGAGCTTAACTAATTTCACTTATGCTTCTTGTTAAGTTAATAACTATTATTGTAATAAACATCAATATATTGGTCGAAAAATATCTTACTAAAATATTTAAATGTACATTGCATTACTTTTTCAAAATTTTCCAACGTTTATTAATGTAAATTTAGTAAAAATTTCATAAAGCAATACTATTCATCCCGGAAGAATATGGTGTTATTTTTGAGAAAAGTTTTAATTTATTTAATTACAAAGTTATTGTATTCGATATGTTTCAATCAATGTATGCTTTTCCATTCTGCGCAAATTTGCAAAAGAATCGTGGACTCAATTGATGACGATAAAGAATTTTTGTAGACATTTAAGAATTTTTTCACAAAGCGATTGAAGCGTATGCCATTTGTGTGTGAATAAGATTTAGAACTCTTCCTATTCATATGTACATATAATTTATGGCGCGAAGTATAGGCGCAATAAATCATGCCTGGTCAGTGCGCAACGTTACGTGCGGCGATTGCCAAGCATCGAAATATGATAGGGTCAACGACAGGGTGGGTGTATTGGCACTAACTAAGAATAGCGTGCGTTCCCTAACCAGTTCGCCGGTTACTTCGCGCTCCTTGAGATTATGAAGCTACGCTGGCGCTCTGACGAAGGGAAGGTAGAATGTGGGTCAACTGCTTCACGGGACAGTCTGGAGAAGGCAAAGCGGAAATGTCTTATTTGTATCTTTCAACGCTGCCAATAAAAGTCCAGAGTTATAAAAAGTATCATCAGTTTAGATAAAAATGTCGAATTAAGTCTAAAGTGTAATAAATATTGACAATATCTACCTCAAATTTACTAATTTTATTAATCTTTTTACTTTTAATAGTGATTAATAATATTAATAATAAAATTATTGAAATTAAATATAATAATTGGAACTTTTTACAAGCTTGCAATATAAATAAGTCTATTTTTATGTTAATGTTTGATTCAACTTTGACTTCAAATAGACCAACAATAATTGACTCCTTATAATAACAATTTAATTTGTCTTAATTTTTACTGTCACATAAATAATAAAGAGATTATGAATAATAAGCGTGATAAGTAGCTACTTATTAATAATTAGCGTGATAAGTAGCTAATTATTAATTAACTATGCGGTTAAATGCGAGCGAGACGACACTATGTATTTGCAATTAGCATTTGTTCTGCGAGCTTCTCGATTGTCACAGTGAATTCTCCTGAGCGAATTCCGAAACCGGTCTTGTCGCCATGGATTCTCGATCGTGAATCACGATCGAGCGTTCCAGACTGCCGATCGATTTTTCTCCGAGGACCGTAAGTGCTTCAACCGACAACACTGAAGAGTTGCCGACCGCGGCTGCGAATTCACGACGCTCAATTAGCCACTCAATGAATTGCCAATTATGTCAAATGTGATCGAGCGTGTGGAATCTCACGAGGCTGTTACTCTGCAAATGCACTAATGTTTCAACGCCGGCTGACGTAAGGATCTAAATTAACTCTAGATTAGCAGACACAGAGTGAGAACTCTCGCAGTTCCAAATTTACCTCCATCTTGACAATTTGCGCGCTAGCTTGTCATTCAATCAATGAGATAACCTGTCAATCATCGATAAAAGAACGTCATGTGCGCATCATGCTCGCGTGCTATCCGCAAGTTACTTTCGCTTTCCACGCCCTAATATATTCAATGGCAGATTAGTGCATAGATTTGAGTCTCTATTTTTATTTCCTAATTCATTTCTTATTTTTTAACAATTTTAATTGTTAACCAAGTTTAACGCAAGTATTATTTAATATTCTTCAAAAATAATTTTTATAATGCAAACAGATTAAATATGCAAATTTGCATTATTATATAATACATAATTAAATTTTTAATATATATATTCTGAGAAGATTTCAAAATTATATTTAATATTTCTCGGTATTTTAATCAGCCACTAAAGATATTAGCGTATCATCTCCATCGAGACTAAGATAAGTAACGTCAATGATCTTATTACCTTTATCGTCGAAGTGGATTAAGTTGCATCTATCGTCAGCCGCGATATCGCATTTATAGACTGCACCTCCTCGGTAAACACTGTTTTGCGAAGTTTCGGCTTCCGGAGCACCCACGATCGCCCTGAAAAATATAAGCACGCTATCAGCGAAATCAAACACCAAGAAAAATATTGTGCTAGATACATTGAGCTAGATGTGCACTTCCGATACGATTTGTTTGACGTCGACCGATTGCGAATTGTTTCAAAAGACGATTGTATCCGATTGATTTTCTTGAGTCAAAATTATCATTTGTATAAATACTTTTTAATATTTTAAGCGCTCTTATAAATAATATTTAAATTAATCTGTCAATTGCATTTGGTTCATATGTATACATTATTACTTATTTCATAAGTTTAATGTTTAAACTAACTAACAATTTTCGATTTTTCAAACTTAAAGTTAGTTCGGACAATTTGAATTGTTTGAACCTTCAGCTCGAGAAGTCCGAACTCTTTGATGTTCGATCTCGAGATCCAAACTGTCTGAACTGCTCGACCACCAGAAGAAACTTCCGAGCACTAATTTTGATTAATGGCGCAAGATCTGGCAATGAGATCTGGCCGATGGACGATGAATTGTATGAACAGCTTTCGCTGTCAAAATCTCAGGTACAGTTGCCGGTGGCCATTGAGATGTCAAGAACTGTCAATTACATTCTAGACAAGGTTACACGGGAGAAGCCGCCTGTGATCATACCATTTGCTTCTCGTACAATTTTCTTTTTTCTCGCACGGAGAGAGCACTACAATCTGAGCTATCGCTGCCCTCGCAATATCGTTAATAGACTAGATTACAATAGACCTTTCGACGCTTTGCTCGCTATATCAATCTTTTTTAATTTCTCTTCTTGGTTCTTTGATTTCCATTACTTACATCAATGTTATTTGATCTCAGAATTAATTTTCTTTTTCCATTGAAATTTCTGTTTTATATAACATAATTAATTTAATTAATTTAATTTTCAGACAAATTGCGCTTATAATGTATTTTCAGGTGAAAGTATATGACAATAAAATATCAATAAAATATATTAACGCGAAATTAATTGACGAATGATGACTATAAAATTGCAGGGATATCGATACGTAACTCATTTCCAAAGAAAATCATTGCAACATATCATAATTATGCGAAGAGACACTCCTCGAGACCTCCTTCGTGCAGTGACTTTATTAAAGCAACTTTTACTACGTATAATTAATCTTAATGACAGCGCTTCGGACGTCAAATAACGCGATTAAATGACGGGCAACACGAAAAAAAAGTGACGTAAAGGCCTCGACACCTTCAATTACCTTAACGATCGGCGCTTCGCGTGCCAAATTGGCCATTACTATTATTGAACGAGAGGCTCCGGTTGCTTTTTTTTACGAGTGCCTCTCCCACTTGGGGTTTCGGCGGGATCCCCGATATTAGAAGAATTGGAAAGAGGTGTACACACACGAAGCCTAGTTTATTATTTGCGCTGATAATTTATTGTCCGCGTGCGCAAGAGCCGGCTCCGATAATGCGGTCCGGAAATAAAAGGCGCGATGTGACCGCAGGCGTTACCAAGCGCGCTCGGACAATATGAAAATGGGATGGTGTAAGACAATCGATCGTGTAATTATCTCCGGAGGGCGTGTCGGCCAAGTGAAAACCCCAAGAGAGTATCGGCATCACCCTGACCTATCGGTGAGGTAATTAATTTCGCTCACGTAGGAGAATATGTCCATAATGGTACTTTTCTCTCTCAATACCTTATATGCCGTCACCTAATTTCTACCTCCATCGTCCAATATTTCAATATTATTTTTATAAATCTTAATATCTGTCTATTTGAATTGAAAACACAAATTATATTTGAAAGAAAAGAATGTGCCGAAGTTACCGAAAGAAATTCGAGTATTTCAAATGAAACTTATCAAGAAATTAGTTCTCAACAATTTAAATCTTTCACGTCATTTTCCAGAAGCAGACATTTCAGAAGCTACTAGTGAACCTTCTCGGATATTACTGTTTACCTTTCATGACAAATGATGTGACGGATGACGAGGCTTTTATCGCCTTGTGTCAAAAGATTTCGGAATATTAGCTTGCAAAGGTGAAAGGGTAAAAGCTTTCTTTCCACTCGACGGAAATTATCTCACCTACGTGTTTACGTGATACGACGAGGTCACATTGATATATTGCATAGTTTTTTTTTTGAAATATTGCAATATAACACTCAAAAAAATGATCTTGCAATAATAGCTAAAATTTTCTAGGTGTAAAAAATTAACTAAAACAGATAAATGATTAGCAACTGTTGTGATATTGCATATGTAATTACTTAATCAGTTTAGATGACAGAAACAGAATATATATCTGTATTGTTTGTGAACTTTAAAAAGAAAGTTTCTCTAAAGCGCCTATCTATATAAGATCAATCACGTGTTAGATCATGCAATGAATAACATTTAGCAATGGTACCTAAATTTTTCAGAAGCTATTGCTAGAACATTACTGCTATAATTCTGTATGTGACAAACAATGTTTTCACAGATACGAAAAATAGCGATACATTCTTGTTGCGATATCTAGAAATCTAACTACATCAGCAAAATATTTTTTTGAGTGAAGGATATATGAATTATTAAACAGTTTCATAAATATTAATAAGACTTGATAAACGCTAAAATATGTTATTGCCATGTGATATCTTCTTTAAATAAAAGAACGACGATAATATGATCATCTACGAATAGATATCAACGTATACAATTTAACTCTGTTCTGTTGACCTAGTTTCGTTAACGCCGCTAATTTAAAGCCCATTAACGACTACGCGCTCAATGAATAATAACCAATAACTTTGGTCATTGTTCCTCGTCTAATCCTTCTAATCTGTGCTGAAGAATTTTATAGCCAATAATTACACCATCTCATCGTGCACAATTAATATATTATTAAGACTTGATCTATGGCTGTCTTCAATAGGCTTTGTTAATTAATCATAATTTAAACGACATTTAAGTTATGCCATTATTTAATGTTTGCATAGTAAGATTTGTTAATGGATATTACATATGCATTTACTCAAGCAACTCTATTCAAAAATGAGAAATATCTTTTAATTTTCAAAAAAAACCATGTCTTTTTAACAGATACAATAATTTTATTAAAAACATTTACTTGTAAACGTATATTATTTGGATAAAATTTAAGATTAAAATAATGACGTATATATTTAATGGTAAAAAAAATTATCAAATTGTTTTTTTCAAAGACAAACAAACAATTTGACTATCTACAATGTTGAAGTAAAAATATCCAACACTAGAATGTTCGACGAAAGAACAACATTTTTATGAAAAGAAAACTTACTCTTGCTAATGTATATAATTTTTTGTCATTTTGACGATAAACTTTACATAGTAAATAATGTACATTCATAAGTTTATGTCAATACGTCCAAGAATCATATCTGTAAAGAATAAATGAATCTATTTAAAAATTGTAAGATGCTCTTCAAACTTTTGAGCGTATCTTCTATCGGCGGAAATTTTGGCACGAGACAGATTCCATGGCGTAGGTTTTCACCTCGAACACATGGAAATGCCATTACCTATGAGAAGCAACCTTGGCACACATCGACTCTTCTGGGTTGCACGATCGGTGCAGCGCGCGTAGGTAAGCGCCGCACACTCATACGCGTACACGTGGAAAGAGACGAGCTGATTATACTGCTTATGTAAGCGATTCATAAGCGTGCGCCTCGGCCGTGCCGTCGAAATTGCATGCCGATAACAACGAACTAACGGAATTCATTAGCGGCCACATTTAGATTGAAATTCACGTGAGCAATAAAGATAAAGGAAAGCTTCGCGTTTCCTGTCAGTCTACTATAATTATTATAATACGCGCGTCATCGTAATTAATAACGAAATAATCGAAACAGGTTCCTCTTTGCCGAGGCTGAGCCGAGATAATACCGACGTTAAATTGGATGAGCTTCTTGCGGTCAAGCAGACTGAAGTAATAATTAGAGATGGTAAATAATGATAGCATCAGAAGCACGAAAGATGACCACGAAACTCGTTTCTCTAGTACATTGTGCAAGAACAAAAAGTGTGCCATAATTGCAACGGGAAGAATACCAACGGGAGACACCGTAACATCTGGTGGCATGGATAATTTTCTTAAATACCGCAAATTGAACACGTACTAGCACAATAGAAGCTGAAAACATCATTCAGAATAATTTTCAATTTTATCGGTCTATCATTTCACCGCCTACATGACAGATGATGAAATGGTACAATCACTTTTAACATAATCATCATCAAATTAAATTAATGTTATTTTGCTGGAGAATAAAATCTGACGCGTAATTGGTCACTAATTTAAACTTTGTTTGTATTTCCAATAAATTTGTTAAAATAATTATTTAAAAAAAAACGCATTTTTGTTGTAATGATGATAAAATTCAAACAGCACAATTCAGTACACAAATATGCATTTAAAATTATGACAGACAAACGCTCGCGCTACTTTAACAGTGTACGTGGGTCGAACCTGACAAGGCGCTTAAGCTTTCGCCCACTCTACTTTTTTGCATTCGTGAGAGGAACTACAGTCACCGATATGTGACGTGAACGAGAATGCAGGGGCGAACCGGTCCCGCAGGATACAGAATCATCGTCGTCGGGGATTCTCGCGTGCGCGATTCGGGAGTATCGACGTAGGTTTCAGGTGAGCTAATCGTACGCGAATAGGTGCGATCAGTGGGCGTTCGAGATAGTCTGTCGTCCAGTCAGATTACATGGGTACAAGCAACCTGACTCGAGGAGAAAGTCCAGGACCTGTTGGCTTTTAATGTCGTTCTTGTGTCAGTTTCGTATCTATCAGTCCTTTTTGTACTCACCAGTGCTCTCGATATGTATGCTAATAGCTTTCGCTATCGATCAATGTAATCTATCTCAAATTCTTTGTCAGTTTATATTTTAATTGTTTCATTATTATTTTAAAAATTTGTTTAAAAAAAGTATTTAAAAAAGAAACTATGTTGAACGACAAATTTATGACAATTAAATTTGATTTAAGCTTTTAGCACGT